ACTTTAAAAACGGAGTTTTATAAACAATAAAGTAACATAACTTAAAAGAGTGTTTGAAATGATTCGATCACTTATAAAAGCATAAGAAATCCTTTAAAATGGTTATCACAAATAACATTTACACAATTATCCTTGTGTTCAACTTGTATTCCCCCCCTCCTTTAAAAGCATTTAAAACATTTAAAAGATTGATTATAGGGGTATGAACTCACCTTATGTGGGTGATTCAACTGAAGGTTCGCGTAAGGATGAGAAGTTCCACGAATGAATTCTCGAGACACAAACGAGTCCTAAATGACATATAATGGCATATATAGGCATGTAATTAGTGTTTTAAACAACTAACATGCAAGGAAACACCCTTAGGGACTAGGAAACACTTGAACTAAGTGTTACAATCATATGTGATTGACTAAAAGGGGTTTACGGCCACACAAGGGAGTGCACGGCCAAGGGGTGTACGGTCATGGAGTGTACGGCCGTACACTCATGGAAAACATGCAAAAAGGGGTGTTTGATCCATGGGGAAACTAGTGTGACAAATGCACAACAAGAGGATGAACAAAGCTCTCATTTTGGAGGGTCTTGAGGTGTGTACGGCCACACCAAGTGTGTACGGCCGTAAACCCTCCAAGATGGATGCATTTTTGGGTCTTGATTCATATGGGATTCAAGTGTTTAAGGCCTTAGGTTATGAACCTAACAAGGGTTTACGGCCGTAGATAGAGTGTACAACCATACACTCTTGATGTTCGTGAGTTTTATGATGTTTCATGGATGAAATCATGGATCTTCACTAGATAAAGCAATGTATCAACTAATCAATGGAAGGAATACTTACGTTTTTGAAGATCAAGGTGAAAAGCTTGATGATAGGTTAGAGAGAATTGGCTTTCTTGACTTGGAAGTGTGAAAAGTGTGAAGAAATGAACGGATGGCTTATATATGGGCATGGGTTCACGGCCACCTTGAGTGTACGGTCGTACACCCATGTGTGCGGCCGTACACTCCTCTTGATGGAGTGTTTGGCTCGAATTCAACTTGAAGAACCTAAGTTAACTCATCCCTAAACCCAAAACATGAATGTACTAGGCTTAGAACACTCAAACAGACCCTAAACAATGCTAAAAGATAGCAGAAATGAGTCTGACTCTCGATTGATTGGCTGGACTTACAAGGCAAAAAATTTTGGGTTGTTACACATATCACAGTTGACCCTCTAAGGACATCTTAGTGCACTTGTATGGCTAAGAAGAGGAATCATGAATTGTTGAAATGGTTAAATAAATTAAGGTGAGTCATACTTCGTTCCAAAATCAAGTCTTAGAGTCATACCCCAAGATTGCGTGTTTTGTGACATGTCATAAGAAAGGTTTATAACACTAATTAAGTGTAGAGTAAAATGTTTTCTACTCTTTTACATTTGAGATTGGTAGTTGTGATGTTTTGGTGAAAACAAAGCTCAACTAAGACCGCACTAACTCTTGAATATTTGTTGTCAAGTAATGTTTCTTGATCGAAGAGAATCTTATAAGTCAAGAGGTCTGTGGGAGTCTTAAAGATCTTGAAACGTTTCGAGAACTAATCAAGAGTAAACCCATTGTTAATCACTAGCACACGACTTGAGGTTTGTAACCTATCGTGTTGACATATCCTTGTTTCTATGCCCATTCTAGTTGAAGTTGACTATGCATGTGAGTTCTTTGAGTTCTAAATTGTTTGCATAGCAACTTGGAAGCAATGGTAGGCCCTTGAGCTACCAGGTGGCAAGAAATTAATATTGAACAAGTTCGATCCATATGAGTTTGGATTTGTCACTAACCCTGTCTTGTGATTATGGTTATGACAAATTCACATGGATATGAACACATACACCATAAAATCTAAGTGACAAAGGTTTCTCTCCGCTTCATGAAAATGATTGTGAGGAAACATTTTCACTAAGTAGATTTTAAGGAGATAGCATTTGTGATATTTTCATTCTCAAATTCGATTATGATTACGGCATCCCTCTTCATAGTTCGAATTATGAGAAATGGAAAAAGGTCTAAAACATTTTAGACTTATTGCTGTAAGTTCTAAAATTCTTTATACACACATGTGAGCTATCTAAGGAAAGTTGTACGAGTTTGAGAAGCGTAGATAAAGTCTTATCGAAGCATCTTGTATCAGAAATCTGAACTTTGGTAATAAAATCAACAACTATTGATTTCAAGAAGTCCAGCTATTTCTGAGTACATGTCAAAGCTAGTGGGAGCATAAGTGTTATGCTATTAAAGAGATAATTGTAATGCTAGTGAGAGCATAATCATTATGGTAATATTGCAAGTTAGCAATGTTAATTATAGAAAACAAAAGTTTCAATTCGCAAAGTTGCAGAGTTTGAAAAGTTGTTTTGCTATAATTAAGGGAGAGGAAATTATAATTCATTTCAAATCTAAAAGCTTAGATTGAGATTTTAATCAAAATTAGTCAAGGAATATATGTGAATGTTATGTTGAAAAGATTCGACATAAGGAAACTCTATATATGGAAATGTTATAGCAAGAGACTGGTAAAGTATCAGGTTATGAATCGTCTCCCATATGTTTCGGATATAGGATCGATTGCATGTGCTATAATATTCTCTTGTTCTAATTTTCCAAATGCTTAGGGCATTAAGAGGGAAAAAGGACTAGAACCAGATATGACTAATGTGGTTAAACAACTGTCAAGGACAATCTAAGGTTCGTTAAGGATTGGTTGCTTAAGGATAGTTGGAAGTATAGTAATAAATGGACCAGATTGATATAATTCTGAATAGATAGGATTCTATTAAGAATGGATAGTCATATGGAAATTATGGAAAAGGTTCCATAATGGGAATTGGATATCAAGAATCTATGAGTATGTTAGAAACTTTTATGCAAGAAGGATGTTCAAAGGAATGTACTTTGAATATGTGACTTTGTATCTATGGAATTGTCTTGTAACAATCTCCAATGGAAAGTTTTGTAATTGGAAAAGTTTTGTAAGCTTAGAATCTAACAGATTATAGTAAGTGGAAAGGACTTGGTATTCTCACACTTACGATAAGGATTTGGAATTGTGAAATGAGTGTCATTGGAAATGTTTACAATTGATCTATTTCACAAAGTAAGGACCATAGGTAAACATAGTGTGCATGCTTGGAGCATGGGATAACTATTGTTTTAATTCAAGTGTAAAGTTGATAAATCGAAACATTATACAATGAATAATGTGTAATCAATATGGTGATTAAATAAAAGGTGTTTTATTTATATTCAAAAGTTTTGAGACCACACTGGATTCAATTATTCTTGTGTTTCATTTTGCATGTTTTGACTTTCTGAATAACTAGGTTATTCAAACCATCCACTGTTGATCATACTTTGGAAGTAGGTATTGATGCTAGACTGTCATGAATGGCTCTGTAGATTGTCTAAAGGCGTTTAGACATAGCACAAGTTTGTTGCAGTGTTCATGAGTACTCCTGTAATAAGATTCGAGTATTGGATTAAACCCACGCTCACCTGAATCACTTCATGGAATTTATCACGAGTGATTGTGAGACGATAATATCGTATAGTCTTCAAACTAAGATATATGAGTTGTTGACTACGAGTTGGCTGTGCACTGATGATACGAAAACGCATTAGTAACTTGATGTTATAAAATGTATCGTTGTGCATGATTTAATGAGTAGTTAGTACAAGCATATAATGTCGAAGTTTATCTGTTCTTTTATCCTAAGAGGATTAAAAGAGATATCTTGGGCCCCTCGATGATTTTCTTTTTACTTATGTGTTGGGCCCGGTTAGAACTAAATTCATGTGTTCAGTTATGTTCTATGTCAGACAAATTGGAAATCGGGAAACAAACTGCAGGATAATAAGTATGATTATGTTCCATATATTTGTCCGCATAGATATCTTGAGAACAGAGGAATATATGATCCCTTATCTAAAGGACGCGTCACTGACTGGGTCAGAGTTTGACATCGGCTTTTAAGAGCTACGATTGCTAATCGAATTTTGAAGTTGCATTGGCAACTATAGTTATTAGACTTATCCAAGTGGGAGACTGTTGGATTAGGTGTCTAAGCCCATAACTATAATTGGGATGTACTTGACCCGATAATAGCATGGTCCTTTTATGTTTCCTTCACCAGTGCAATTTGACACTACTAGAAAACAGCCCTTTAATGACGCGCAAACAATGACACTCGCTGATAGAGGACGCGCATTTGTGAGTGCCCTAAAAAATAATGTCAGTTTTGCAAAATTTAAAGGATTTAGGACACATATTTTTCCGTGCCCTAAAATTAGTGTCTAAAAAAATAAACATGGAGGGCACCTATAATAAAATGTGTGTCGCCTAAGACTGTCGTTTTATAAATTTTAATATAACGCGCACGTTCATCCGGGTAAAATGAAATCCTAAAAACTTAAAAACCCCGCCGTCTTTTTTTTCTTCCTCTGCTTTAGTTTCCCTCTTTGTAATAGCTAGGTCTTTTTCAAGAACTTGCGCCGGCAGGGAGGGGGTTCGAAACACGATTGGGAACAGTGGGTCAAGAAGCACCGGCAGGGAGCAACGATCAAAAAGAAATCAGAGCAGCAGCAGGTGGTGGTGACCGGAGACTCTCAACAACTGTAGTGGTGGTCGATGAGTGGAGCTGCAATAGCAGCTTGTTGCCCTTCTCTTTTCTTTTATGGCGATGGTCAATAAGTAGAAAGGACGACAGAGGGAAGGGAAGATTGGCACCGGTGATGGAGGGGACAACCAATCACAGTAGCAGCGACAACGAGGTGGTGGGTGGTAACGGTTGACTTGCGATAGCGGCTCTTCTACCTTGTTTTCCTTTGTTTCTGTAAAACTCGACATGGAAATGATGTAGAGGAGGAGGAATTTCGGAGGTTGGAACGGAGTCAGCGATCTATGGCTTCCTGTTGGGCTTTTTCCGGTGATAGGGAATCTCAAACGATACAGTTTTTGTCAGAATGAAGAAAGTGAGAAGTAGCAAATCGAGTGGGTGTTTGGGGTCCTGTGTAATAGCAAGAGGGGAAGAAGATGGTGTGAACGATTCTCTTTTAGCTGGACTTGATGGTTCTCAAGTAAGAGAAAAATAAATTTTCTTCTTGTTCTTGTTCTTCTTGTAGTTTGCTCTTAACTTTTCAAGTAATCCAATGTTTGTACTTTGTATACACCTCATCATCTTTAATGTGTGTAGTTAACTGGAGGAAAGATTGGTGATAGACTATTGGCTGAAGCAGAAACAAACTTAGCCATAAATGTAATCCATGGTTTAGCAGAATCATACGAGGTTCAAGGAAGAGGAGAACTTCAATTAGGCCATATCATATACTCTTTAATTCATCATGTTCTTTAAAAAATCACCAAAGAATTATTATGTATGCTAACTTCCTTCAATTTGTAGGCATCTTGCTTGAGAATATGAGGCGTGAAAATTTTGAGCTTTCTGTATCCCCTCCAAGAGTTATGTAAGTTTTCTTTATCTTCTACTTCTTATATTAACTTTTAGGGTTCATAATGATTATTATTTGTATAATATGTTAGGTACAAGATTGAGAAACGTGTGAAGCTAGAGCCAATTGAAGAAGTAACCATTGAGGTAAAAAAAACTGATTTACTATTTGTATTTGTATTTTAATGATATGGATTTTTTATGTGATTGTTATAAATTTAAGGTGAATGAAGAGCATCTGGGAATGGTGATGGAAGTGCTTTCTCACAGGCGAGCTGAGGTTACTGACATGGGCCCTGTTGCTGGAAACTTTGGCAGGACTAGAATGACATTAACTTGTCCTTCAAGGTCAGTTTCGTCATTTTATCAACATGTTTTTTTTTCAAAATAGTGATAAAAAGAAGTTGCTTACGTTTTTGTTAATTTGAGGCTTCAGGGGAATGGTTGGTTACAGAAGCGTGTTCAGCAGTGACACACGTGGCACATGATTTATGCATCGTGCATTCATTGGTATGTATGTAATGTATGCTCATTTTAATACTTTTTTTTTCTTTTTAACTTCTTTAATACTGAATCAGTGATTTTATTTTGTTAACAATATATTGTTTTTACAACTTATGAAAAATATCGTGATCCACTTGGACACGTCAGGAAAGGAGTGTTGGTAAATATCACTTGAGACTGTTATTACTTTTTTTTATTTAAAAATATGATTTGAGGGTTTTGGTTTATTAATAAATTTAAGGAATTGTGAGTAGCATGATTGTAATTTATATGGTTATTGATCATAGGTATCATGTGCCCGTGGAACTGTCACATCTTATGCCTTGATGAGTTTGGAATCACGTGGAACACTTTTTGTGAGTCCTGGAGTTGAGGTAATAAACATATTCTTAAACTAATAATCTCTCTCTCTATATATTAAGATAAATGCTGATATTGTTTTTGTGTTGTGATAAATGATAATTAATAAGTAATGAATGAATATTGAATATGATGCAGGCATATGATGGGATGATTGTTGGTGAACATTCACGGGATACAGATCTTGATGTTGGGATATGCTCAATATTTTTATGAAACATTAGACTAAAAAGGTAAATTATATGCTATCATTTGGGGCTGCTGAATTTTCATTCTCCTTGCTTCATAAATACCATCTTCTTGAGATTTTACTACCATTTCAGGTGAGTGTTGAATCAGTGCTTCTGCATTATTATTTACTATTATTTATAATAAAAACTAAAAGGAAACTACTGGTTTTTGCTATTGAAAATTGCAGGCAGCATACATTTCTCAACAAGCAACTAGGTTTGACCAAAGTTCCATGATATTAATGGTATGCCAAGTCACTATCTTTTTTACTTTTTGGCAACAAAAAAATATAAATCTTTCATCTGTAATTTTTTATACTCAACATATGTAGTTTATTTTTACAGAAACTGCTGTCTCATTTGGATAAGTTGGTTTCTTGTGATCGTCCTTCTGGAAGTCCCTTATGGTGAGTGGTTTCTTAATTTATATATATATATATATATATATATATATATATATATATATATAGTATTCTTTTAAAAATAGCATTATATAACTAATGTCAAACCCTTTTTTGTGTTTTAATACACATTTTCATGATTGCACCTTAACCAGGGGCATGAGCTTGTAATGCATGTGCTATACCACCTCCATGCTGTTAAGGTGTCAGATTCAGCCTAAAACTCTTTAGGGGTCGTTGTATATGAGAAGTGGAAGCTATGATGTAACTTGCTATTGCTCATACAACTTTTGTTGGAATGTGAGTATCATAATTCATGCATTTTTATAAAAGTTTAAAAGATTAGTTTATGTTTTTTCTATATAAAAGATAAATCCTTTTGTTGCTATTGTTGTAGTGTACAAAAGAAGCTGATCGCCTTGTGGACTGTGAAACTGTGTCCAACTGGATTTTGAAGAACAGTACAGAGTCTAAAAATATGAATTGGTAAATGTCTAAACTGGCCCTTGGCATGCATGCTGATCAAATTGCTAATGCTAAATAGGAAGTTAAAGAACATGGAATGGAACACAACAGGTGATTATTTTTAATTTTAGCACTAAATATTTAAAAATATCATTTTTTATGTTAAATCCTAACCATAACTAAGGTGCTATATCTTTTATCTACTATTTGTAATGTTAATCTGATAATATTAGTTAATAACATATTTATATAACAACTCTATCAGTTAGCTAAATTTGATTATGTGATTAATAAAAGTTCTTTTTTTTGCAACTAATGTTCAAGTCATTACTTGCCATCCACGCCCGGTGGATAGCAACCCAGTATACCAGGTGGCAAACCAATAATATAGAAGATTTTTTTCACATGATATCTGAAACAAGAAGGTGCCCTTAAATAGCAATGTAGTATTAGGTTATATAGTTAGAGAAAACCTCTTAATAACAATGTACAATCCGATCACCTTAATATTAATGTATTACAATTTTTTGACATGATGTTATTGGATGAAATTGATTGTTTTGGTATATATTTGTTTCCATATTTTTGTATTATGCGTAAATGAATATCGTAAAGGCACGTCGTAAATGCATATCGTAAATGGCTGCTGAAGTTTATGACACGCAAATGCGTGTCATCTTCATTTGTGACAGGGGCTTTAATGATACGCAATGCGTGTCATAAATGCGCGTCGTAAGGTTACGACACGCAAATGCGTGTCGTCTTCCTTTATGACAGGGCATTCCTTGATACGCATTGCATGTCGTAAATGAGCGTCGTAAATGCGCGTCGTCTATAGACGACCCGCAAAAGCGTGTCGTCTCTCGTTATGACAGGGCATTCCTTGACACGCATTTGCGCGTCGTCTGAGCGTTTTACGACATGCATTGCACGTCGTGAAAGGTTGTTTTTCTAGTAGTGTGATAGGATGAACTTTTGAGAATAAGGTTATTTATGATTTATTAATATATTATAAGCATAATATATTAATTGAAAAATCATATTATTTAATTAGTATTGATCAAGAATTAATTTGGAATTAATTTTGTGATCAAAAGAGACTAATTTAATATGTGGGGATTGATTATGTAAATCAATGATTCTTATAGTGTGGGCTAATCATCCATGGTTATTTAGGATGGGTTAAACCAATGAGATAGTCCATGGAGGCTTAACCCATTGAGCCTAAGTAATATGAAAGGTCATTAGGGTTTGCAAGGTGTAACCCTAGCATTTGCTATATTATAAAAGGACCTCCCTCGAACCAAAATCGGTTACACCATCATTCTAAGAGAGTGATATAGTTTTTGTGCTAAGTAACTTATTCCCTCAAGCCTCCTCTTGCATTTGGTGTTTGTGACACATTAGAAGTATCACACTTGAGGTGCTCAAGCTTTCAAAGGCCAAGAACTACAAGTCCTACTAAGAGGTAAGTTATCTAACTAGTTGTATTGTTCAATTGTCAATTTTTATGCTTGTTAGGATGTATGATTTAGAAAATTGAAAAATGAATGTATAATTAGAGAAACCATAGATCCAAAGCCTCTAGGGTTGCATGTGCACCATAGGAGTGTTATAGTGCTAAAAACCCAACAATAACTTCATAATCACTAGATTACCTAGCCATCCACAACCTTCCTACCCAATCACCACCATACTGAGCTTAGTAGACTAAGATCCTATGATCAAACGATATCGGGTGCTCACACCCAAAACCAAATGAAGCACTTTACTACTCTCGAAAAATATTGTCGCATTCAAGGTATGTTCCCTTGATACAATTCCATATCCTTCTATAATCTCAACTGATGACAAGGAAGCCAAAAAACCCATAATTGGAACATATTGATAATCACTTCAATGTTCTACCTACTACCATAACAAACTAAGTCTTCTATAGACCATAAACAGAACATGATGATAGGTTGTCACACTCATTCACCTCCAATTATACAACTCAATACCTTTGAAGCATACCCCACCTATTGATGATAAACAAGAACAACCAGCGATCGAGAATGCACTGACAACAACCTAATAATCCAAAGTTTTTCACTGAACTAAACCCATGAAGAACTACATATATCCAACCCTGAAGTTGATTGAGAAATCAACCATTGCTTATATTAGACTATAGGTATAAATTTATACATCGAGATGACAAATCCTTTAACAACTAATGCTCAACCCGAGCGACCTAACCACCTATTGAATAGTTCATCCACCATACCGAAAGGGACCACTGCCTACAATGAGCTCCTTGACTAACATCTTCCTGTCGCGAAGAAAAATCATGTATTTCTGAGCACATACATCTGATGGCGACTTGCTCTTCACCCTTATATCGAATCAAAGTCTCGTATGCCTGAACTGCCAATCCTTGCAACGCATTCCTCCACAACCATTAGCTCAAACAGATCGATGATCTTTCAAGTAGCATGCCCAGTTCTCCCCCACTTGGGTTTGAACTATTACCAGCTGACGTTGCAGACAAACCACACTTCATACCGAATCAACCAAATATATACCATCCCTGCTCTTGGAATGTATATCACATCGGAAGATAATCTCCCAGATAAAGACTCAACAACTCAAAGACATTCCGAATCTTAGATGGAGACCTCGGAAACTTCCCGGTGATAACTGCCTCTATCATCAAGAATCCCATGCAAATGCACAAGCAATAACTCTGATAGCCCCTTCATAGCATCGATTCTCCATCTAAGAACAATTGGACTACCACACACTTTACCTATGAATCTCTGACCTTCACTCCATCATGAGACACAATCATAAAACATGAGGCATCACCCTCACATTCTATATACAACATAGACAACGAGAGTTGTTGTTCCTGATTCACTTCTCCTGATCACCTAGAACAGCCTGCCAGAACACGCTCTAGCTGAACTCAAGGAAAGCATACCCCTGGTCCTCATCTTGCACAGTCTCCACGAAAATGACTCTCTTTCCACACATGAATTTTCTCGAGGCGATCAAACCAGATGACTCCTCATCGTAGAAAATAATATCACAAGCCATCAGCCGGTCACTCAACCAGGCTGAAATCCTCAAGCCGCTCATCCTAATTGTTTTGTTCTTGAGTCTCGCGACTCTGACTGTCACTTCCTTAAGTAAGGTCCCCAATACCTTGAAATTAACTACTCATCCAGGTCTGCACCATCCAATCCAAACTGACATGGCCATTAAGGCCCAAACAATCACCTGACCCGTCTTCTTTTCGGACTGTCAGAACCGAAAAGCTGATAACACCCAAAATGTTGCAACAGATTCATGGTGCCAAACCATGTTCCTACCCTCGACCATCTCCTTAGAATTTTTAGGACTTTCCTTGATTCGAGTACGGATCCTGTGCTTCCAGTAGTACGAGCCCAATACTACCTTCCACACTTATCTGCACTTTCCTCAGAATCATCCCGAATCCTGTAAGTCACTTCCTCATAAAGATAGCCTCCAAAATATGCCAAACATCGCATCACTTGCACTAAAGTGCTTCCTAGTCTCTTCAAGGATTCCCACCTCACCCACCCAACTGCCAATGATGGACCTCTACTAATGTCAGCTAACTACTTCACGAATACAATTACATGCAACAAATCTTAGATAATCCTTCGACTATAAGACTCAACCCTACAACGGTTAGACTCAAACGTGAGCTAAGCAATAAGGCCAAGACAACCACTCTAAGATTATTTAACCCTTATTGCATGTAACTTAACATATTCAGCAGATAACCAAATTACATCAATATGAGTCCTATACATCACAAAGCAAGCAACATTCGAGCATCAAGAACTAATAACATTGCATAAACAGGAAGTCTCAAGAAGTAATAACATTGCATAAACATGCAGTCCTATTATGACAACCGTCAAATTCAAGCCAAAGTCAAAGTCAACAAGTCAAATTCAAAGTCAACAAGTCAAACCGGTCAAACTTAACTAGTGCTTGTATGTTAAAAGCTATTCTATATATAAAAATGTGCCTTTGTATGTCAAGAATTCAAGTGTCTCGGAAAATCTATGAGCTTAGCAATGTAAAAACCCTAAAAAGCGAGTTA